TAATGCTTCACCGAACACAGGAGGGGGCTCGGCTGTCTACAAATAAAGACGGCTCATTTGAATTCTCCCCAAATATATTGAGGCTGAACCTGAACTTTCAGCTTGGGGGCCCTCGTGGGCATCCGCATAGTCCGCCTATAGGAAGAAACGGAGGGAGTGAAAGTGGAGGGCTGTAGTGTTTGGTCATGTTAGAGGATCAGCTGTATGAAGATCCAGGTGTGTGTTCAGGTGAGAAGAACACTGGAGCCTGGAGTTATGAAACAGAGTTAGTAAAGTTCAACTCCAGCTCAACGAACACAAACTACAATAACAGAACATCTAAAGACCAAAGCTAACTAGAAAATGCATTTCCTGCAGAAAATGCGTGCGAATGCTGTAAACTGTGAACATTTGTGGCTGAATTTAGCTGAAAATGCAGAAAAAGCTGAATATGTTATTAGCTGAATGGTAGCTGTTTTTAGCTACAAAAATGCAGAAAAAGCTTAATATTTAAAAGAAAAGGTTTAAAAAAACATGTATAGCCTTGATGTCCTGAAATAGCTGAATAATGTAATAGTTGAATGGTTTCTGCAGCTGAAAATAGGCTGAAGGAGTTAAATATCAGATGTAAGTAGTAGTGAATGAATTTGTATTAAGATGAGAAAAGAAAGTAAAAAGGCTTGGGAAAGCAGCAGAATAAACTACAAACTTTTGAACTAACTTGATGGTGAATTATCTGTCGCCATGGCAACGGAATTTGATGACACCCCATAATACGCTTAGATGTGTTGATGGCTGCATCGTTACCAAACCTGTGAAGTTTTGGGCCATTTCGAGCATTTTCACTGAAGTTATGAGAAAACCGTGTTTCATGTGAGCATTGTGTTGCCATGGCAACGGCATTTGAAGAAATCTCAAAACTGTTAGCACACATGTGAAGTTTGAGCACTTTTTGAACATTTTCATAGTAGTTATACATTACATTAGGAGGTTACATTACTCTCTCTCTTCTCTTGATCGCCCTCTCTCTTCTCTTGATCACCCTCTCAATCTTCTATCGCCCTCTCTCTCTTCTCTTGATCGCCCTCTCTCTCTTCTCTCTCTTCTCTTGCTCGCCCTCTCTCTCTTGATCGCCCTCTCTCTCCTCTTGATCGCCCTCTCTCTCTCCTCTTGATCGCTCTCTCTCTCTCCTCTTGATCGCCATCTCTCTCTCCTCTTGATCGCCCTCTCTCTCTCCTCTTGATCGCCCTCTCTCTCTCCTCTTGATCGCCCACTCTCTCTCCTCTTGATCGCCCACTCTCTCTCCTCTTGATCACCCTCTCTCTCTCCTCTTGATCGCCCTCTCTCTCTCACTCTTCTATCACCCTCTCTCTCTTCTCTTGATCGCCCTCTCTCCTCTTGATCGCCCTCTCTCTCTTCTCTTGATCGCCCTCTCTCTCTTCTATCACCCTCTCACTCTTCTATCACCCTCTCTCTCTTCTCTTGATCGCCCTCTCTCTCTTCTCTTGATCGCCGTCTCTCTCCTCTTGATCGCCCTCTCTCTCTCCTCTTGATCGCCCTCTCTCTCCTCTTGATCGCCCTCTCTTTCTCTTCTCTTGATCACCTTCTCTCTCTCCTCTTGATCGCCCTCTCTTCTCTTGATCACCCTATCACTCTTCTATCACCCTCTCTCACTTCTCTTGATGTGTCTGTGAGAGAGAGAGAGAGAGAGAGAGAGAGAGATAATTGTTACAGCTCAAATGCATTGCAATGACTTCCATGTTAAAAAAAGACTTTAAAAAGCTGAATGTTTTAAAAAGGATAACATATTTTGAAAAAGTTGAAAGTTTCCCCATCATGTGCTGAAAAGGCTGAATAGTTTGATATTTGAATGGTTCCTGCAGCTGAAATTAGGCTCAAGGAGTTAAATAAAGATATTAAATGTAAGTAGTAGTGAATGAATGTTTACAAACACCTGTGTGTGTAAACCCAGAGATGAAAGGTTACCATGGTGGCGACTTATGACGATTTACCAACTGCAGCACTGAGTCCCATTAAGAATGCATTGAGGATTATATCTGACAATTTTGCCACCTGTTCAAAAACTATGGCTCCTATCAAAAAATGACCAGACCGTGAGCATCAGGGAACCCCAATGAACTGATATATGTTGTTTTTTTTGGTTTTGTGTGTACAATGTGGAGATGGGAGCAGTTTGTCTAAAGTGTACTTCTCTCTGTTCTGAAGAAAGTTCCGGAAAGATTTAACATGGGAATCAATTGGGAGCTAGCTGGACTTTTTGTCTCTTCATGCCCTCAAGAGGCATTTTGTTTAATATTTTTTCTTCATATTTTTTTATTTTCCAACCTATGAGAGGTTTTCCTACGTTTTTCATGAAAAAATATGTCTGAGGAGTGTAGGGTTTGGGAATTATGGCAAGTTTCAAACATTTTTTGAGGAGAATTTGAAGCACCCCTCCACTCTGTTTTGAGATCAAAGCACTCTAGACTTAACGAGCTGCTCCATCCACACTAATGTTAAAATCTGAAAAAGGCCTCTCTACCAAGCTCCAAACTAAGTTAAATATCTCAAAAAGTGTAAAAGATATCAAAAATAAAAATTAATTTTGAATAGCTGAAGGTCTTGTGATCATTTGAAAGTTGGAATGAAGTGTCTAGCTGAAAGTATGTGGAAGGAGTAGCATTTGGCGCAAAGTGTAGGAAAAGAGGATTTGAAGGCATCTCCCATTGACTTCCATGTTAAAAAAAGAGTTTAAAAAGCTGAATATTTCAAGAAGTATAAAATATTTTTAAATATTTGAAGGTTTCCCATCGATTCCTGAACAGGCTGAATAGTTTAATATTTGAATGGTTTCTGTAGCTGAAAATAAGCTGAAGTTATGGAGTGCTAAAGTATTGGCTGAAATAATAATAATAACTAGAAAATGCATTTCCTGCATAAAATGCGTGCGAAAGCTGTAAACTGTGAACATTTGTGGCTGAATTTAGCTGAAAATGCAGAAAAAGCTGAATAAGTTATTAGCTGAATGGTAGCTGCTTTTAGCTACAAAAATGCAGAAAAAGCTTAATATTTAAAAGAAAAGGTTTAAAAAAACATGTATAGCCTTGATGTCCTGAAATAGCTGAATAATGTAATAGTTGAATGGTTTCTGCAGCTGAAAATAGGCTGAAGGAGTTAAATATCAGATGTAAGTGGTAGTGAATGAATTTGTATTAAGAAGAGAAAAGAAAGTAAAAAGGCTTGGGAAAGCAGCAGAATATTTTGACTGCAAACTTTTCGACTAAAACCATACGTCACCAATAATGTATAAAATATGTGGAACCTGTTGAAGTCAGTATGAAGTCTCCATCAGACAGAAAATAATAGGCTGAGACAGTCTGTTAAAGTCCAGTCTGTCAGTGTTTGTTTCTGTTCCTGAGCACCTACTCATAACACCCAATCATAACACCTGTGTGTGTGTCCAGAGATCAAAGGTTTCCATGGTGTCTGTTCTGATTAGATGATGTGACTCAGGTGTGTGTGTGTGTGGCTCCAATCTGCCCATCAACACCATGACAACCAACTGCAGCACTGAGTCCCATAAGAATGCATTGAGGAGTATATCTGACAATTTTGCCACCTGTTCAAAAACTATGGCTCCTATACAAAAATGGCCAGACCGTGAGCATCAGGGAACCCCAATGAACTGATATATGTTGTTTTTTTGGGTTTTGTGTGTCAAATGTGAAGATGGGAGCAGTTTATCTAAAGTTGACTTCTCTCTGTTCTGAAGAAAGTTCCGGTCAAATTTAACATGGGAGTCTATTGGGAGCTAGGTGGACTTTTTGTCACTCTGATCACTATTGGGCCAGAACGGTGTGTCCGTTTGATATGATGAAGGCAATTGAGCAGGCCAGACTAATAATGCTCCTGAAATCTTTTGAAATTATTTGAATAGATTGTATATTTTGGCTCTGAGAGCAGTTTTAAAATATGTTTTCCGAAGATTTTTAAGACCCTCTACACTCTAAGTGATGATGTCACGCACTCTAAAATCTAAAACAGCCTGTACATTTACCAAAACTCAAACGTTGATAACTCCAAAACCGTAAAAGATATCAAAAATAAAAGTCAAGTTTGAATAGCTGAAGGTCTTGTGATCATTTTAAAGTTGGAATGAAGTCTGTAGCTGAAAGTATGTGGAAGGAGTAGCATTTGGCGCAAGGTGTAGGAAAAGAGGATTTGAAGGCATCTCCCATTGACTTCCATGTTAAAAAAAGAGTTTAAAAAGCTGAATATTTCAAAAAGTATAACATATTTTTTTAAAGTTGAAGGTTTCCCATCGATTCCTGAACAGGCTGAATAGTTTGATATTTGAATGGTTTCTGTAGCTGAAAGTAAGCTGAAGTTATGGAGAGCCAAAGTATTGGCTGAAATAATAATAAGCAAAAAGAATAACGATTTGAAGTACTATAGTGGAATGCTGTGGCACAGCATTCGCACTAATAATAAGGGGAAGAATAAAGATTCGAAGAACTATAGTGGAATGCTGTAAACAGCATTCGCACTAAATATTCAGATTACTGGGAACCTCTGAGTTCGTTGTTGATTTCCAATGGATTATTAACGAGTTAACATGTGACAGCAGTACCAGCCAATCACAGCAGAGCGTGAGACATTGATCACAGCAGATTAACTGATATATAATTACATATATTTCTTTAGTTAACATTTTTTATTTTCAGGTTATGGTGACACATCTTTGTTCTTAAGAAAAGCTTTAAGTACAATTGATTGTTTTTGTTCATTTAATATTGAAGGCAGCCAACAGGAAGTCTCAGCTGCAGCCTTCTTTCATATTTTCCAAAATGCCTCCTCGCTCCTCTGTACGTCTCAAAGTCGCCCCGTAATAAATAAACTGTAAACAAATAAAACCTGAGCTTACAGGTTTCTCTTGAATCCCAGAAAACACTGACTAATAACTACATTTTATTCTGTAGTGAAACCTCAATAAATAAACTTCACACGGTACGACCTCTCACCTTTCTGTGTGTCTTCACTTCCTGTCACCTGAGAGGAGAAGGAGAGAGAGAGAATAATGATGATGATAAAACATGAAGAGCAACAGACAGAATGATGAAGAGAGAGAAACAAGAGTGTTGTTTTCCTCTGAGGTCATGCTCCATGAAAGAATTTAGTATCTTGCTGAATGGATGATATGGTTTCAGTACTCACAGGTCTTCTGGATCGTGGCTCTGATCGGCTCGTCATTGATCCTGTAGGGATGAACACAATCCAACAGTTTTAGATCAAGTTTAAAATAAGTGTTTGTTCTTTGAGTCAGCTTCAGAGTCCTGACCTCATGCTTTACATCCCATCATATCTTCTCTGCAAACACTACGACTGCCTGCCACAGCTCTCAGCTGCATTACAGGAAGTAACCAGTCATTAGAAACTAAAAACATCCCATAAAAATAGACTACCTTTCCCACTCTTCTGTAAAACCCCATATGTCTGTTAGAGAGTAGATTACTAAAGTGTGGCTTTGCATTTCCAGCTGGCCTTCTATAGTTGATGGAAGAATGAAAGAGCCTGCAGTCAGTGGGTAACATCACTGATCTGTTGTGATTCCCCAGTGAGAGAAACACCTCCCTGTGTTTCATACAATACTGCTGAGCCAGCAGAGACCCCTTACTGACCTGAGGGTCTCCAGTCTGCAGTCTGGACTCTCCAGAAGATCTCTCAGCAGCTCCACTCCTGAATCCTGCAGAGCGTTCTTACTCAGGTCCAGATCTCTCAGATGGATGTTGGACTTCAGAGCTGAGGCCAGAGCAGAACAGCTGATCTCTGACAAACTGCAGCGTCTCAGACTGAATAAAGAAAACATGATGTAACTTTAGAAAACAAAGTTCCTGTTAGAAATAACTCCTGGTTTAATAATCTGATCAGAGTTAAACAGGGTTTGAATTAGGGATGGGAATGATTCATTGAATATTCAAAATGATTCAGGTATTGGAATATGAGTTATGAATATTTGTATTGTAATTATTATTGTTTGTATGGGAGGGGTGCCTAAGTTGATTACATATTATCAAATGGATTAATTAAATGTATACGACCGTGCCATTTTAAATATCTTAAGAAAAATATCAACAAAAAAACACGTGTAACGTTACCAGGGCTCAGCACAGAGGACGATGCTCTGACGTCATCACCCTCACACATTTGTCACATGTTTACAAAAAACTATATATATGTTAAAACTTTTCTCGTTCTTAATATAGACTAAATTTAAAATCGATATGTGTTGACTTTAATTTAAAATAGCAGATCTCTGTGACCGGATAGAGTTTGGCGGCTTAGTGAACGTGTCTCTGCTCCGATCTCTCTCTGTGTGTGTGTGTGTGTGTGTGTGTGTGTGTGTGTGTGTGTGTGTGTGTGTGTGTGTGTGTGTGTGTTGTGTGTGTGTGTGTGTATGTGTGTATGTGTGTGTGTGTGCACGCCATACCCCCCGACCCGTCCTGTAACACAGAGCCGTTTCCTAAACCATGCTAAATGTGTGTGTGTGCATAAAGTGAGTTATGATCACTGCATCTGGTGATGATGAAATAGTTTGCAGTGAGATTTACTCACATACTTCTGGCTATACTCGTGCAGCCCTACAAATGAACTGAGATCTCCACACAAATGATCTTAAGCAAGTGTGCAGAGCAATGTTGATTTAAAATAGTAATTTGAAGGTTGGATATTTGTTAACCTTTTTTTGTTTATATATTAATAATTTAATATATACCCTCGCACCTCCACAGAGAGCCCCCCCACATCAAACCCCAACTTAACCCCTGAACGTTACACTCTAACGGAGAGTCCTACCCAACAAACGAAAATGTTTTTATTATTACAAATATATATTTTATTTATTTTACAGCATCTCCACTGACTCATGGAGCACAGAGTGAGTCTGTTATATCTCATCTTAGCTCTTAAGGTTGCCTTTCTGGTAGGTCAGGTACAACTGGCCAAAAAAGGGGTGGAGCACCAAGATTGGTCCATAACCAAAGGTGAATAACTTAAATATGCAATCACATCCCATAGGCACACTGTGGTAGGCTATGTGGGAGGCATGGTTTCCCTTATTCTGCACTGTGACTGCAGAGCTGCTAGAAGTCCTTCTCTGGGGGATAGACCCATGCATTGGAGGAGAACATCATTTTACTAGATGTTATGTTTGCGTGATTATTCATAATGGATAGAAAGACATAGTTTGGAGAAGAGTTAGCTTGTCTGTTTCTCTTGTGATCCTAATTTTCATATTTTTAAAGTTTGCATTTCTCAAATTAATAATTGTGTGAAAATTGAAGGATAAAGAACAAAAACCAGACCAAGCCAGGCCAGCTGTTTCCCCCATCTGTTTGCTAAGTCAAGCTAACCAGCTGCTCATGGTAGCATGATGACATACAGATGTGATGATATACCAGCCATTAGTCTACAAACTAAAAAACATCACGTAAAAAACATTAAAATAAAAACAGACTACCTTTCCCACTCTTCTGTGAAACCCCATATGTCTGTTAGAGAGTTGATTACTAAAGTGTGGCTTTGCATTTCCAGCTGGCCTTCTATAGTTGATGGAAGAATGAAAGAGCCTGCAGTCAGTGGGTAACATCACTGATCTGTTTCCCCAGAGAGAGAAACACCTCCCTGTGTTTCATACAATACTGCTGAACCAGCAGAGACCCCTTACTGACCTGAGGGTCTCCAGTCTGCAGTCTGGACTCTCCAGAAGATCTCTCAGCAGCTCCACTCCTGAATCCTGCAGAGCGTTGCCACTCAGGTCCAGATCTCTCAGATGGATGTTGGACTTCAGAGCTGAGGCCAGAGCAGAACAGCTGATCTCTGACAAACTGCAGCATCTCAGACTGAATAAAGAAAACATGATGTAACTTTAGAAAACAAAGTTCCTGTTAGAAATAACTCCAGGTTTAATAATCTGATCAGAGTTAAACAGGGTTTGAATTAGGGATGGGAATGATTCATCGAATATTCAAAATGATTCAGGTATTGGAATATGAGGTATGAATATTTGTATTGTAATTATTATTGTTTTTATGGGAGGGGTGCCTAAGTTGATTATATATTATCAAATGGATTAATTAAATGTATACGACCGTGCCATTTTAAATATCTTAAGAAAAATATCAACAAAAAAATACGTGTAACGTTACCAGGGCTCAGCACAGAGGACGATGCTCTGACGTCATCACCCTCACACATTTGTCACATGTTTACAAAAAACTATATATATGTTAAAACTTTTCTCGTTCTTAATATAGACTATATTTAAGGTCGATATGTGTTGACTTTAATTTAAAATAGCAGATCTCTGTGACCGGATAGAGTTTTTCGGCTTAGTGAACGTGTCTCTGCTCCGATCAGTGTGTGTGTGTGTGTGTGTGTGTGTGTGTGTGTGTGTGTGTGGTGTGTGTGTGTGAATGTGTGTGTGTGTGTGTGTGTGTGTGTGTGTGTGTGTGTGTGCCATACCCCCCGACCCGTCCTGTAACACGGAGCCCGTTTCCTAAACCTTGCTAAATGTGTGTGTGTGTGTGTGTGTGTGTGTGTGTGTGTGTGTGTGTGTGTGCACGCCATACCCCCCGACCCGTCCTGTAACACGGAGCCCGTTTCCTAAACCTTGCTAAATGTGTGTGTGTGTGTGTGTGTGTGTGTGTGTGTGTGTGCACGCCATACCCCCGACCCGTCCTGTAACACGGAGCCCGTTTCCTAAACCTTGCTAAATGTGTGTGTGTGTGTGTGTGTGTGTGTGTGTGTGTGTGTGTGTGTGTGTGTGTGTGTGCACGCCATACCCCCCGACCCGTCCTGTAACACGGAGCCGTTTCCTAAACCTTGCTAAATGTGTGTGTGTGCATAAAGTGAGTTATGATCACTGAATCTGGTGATGATGAAATAGTTTGCAGTGAGATTTACTCACATACTTCTGGCTATACTCGTGCAGCCCTACAAATGAACTGAGATCTCCAAACAAATGATCTTAAGCAAGTGTGCAGAGCAATGTTGATTTAAAATAGTAATTTGAAGGTTGGATATTTGTTAACCTTTTTTTGTTTATATATTAATTATTTAATATATACCCTCGCACCTCCACAGAGAGCCCCCCCACATCAAACCCCAACTTAACCCCTGAACGTTACACCCTAACGGAGAGTCCTACACAACAAACGAAAATGTATTTATTACAAATATATATATATATTTTTGTTACAGCATCTCCACTGACTCATGGAGCACAGAGTGAGTCTGTTATATCTCATCTTAGCTCTTAAGGTTGCCTTTCTGGTAGGTCAGGTACAACTGGCCAAAAAAGGGGCGGAGCACCAAGATTGGTCCATAACCAAAGGTGAATAACTTCAATACGCAATCACATCCCATAGGCACACTGTGGTAGGCTATGTGGGAGGCATGGTTTCCCTTATTCTGCACTGTGACTGCAGAGCTGCTAGAAGTCCTTCTCTGGGGGATAGACCCATGCATTTGAGGAGAACATCATTTTACTAGATGTTATGTTTGCGTGATTATTCATAATGGGTAGAAAGACATATTTTGGAGGAGAGTTAGCTTGTCTGTTTCTCTTGTGATCCTAATTTTCATATTGTTTAAAGTTTGCATTTCTCAAATTAACAATTGTGTGAAAATGAAAGGATAAAGAACAAAAACCAGACCAAGCCAGGCCAGCTGTTTCCCCCATCTGTTTGCTAAGTCAAGCTAACCAGCTGCTCATGGTAGCATGATGACATACAGATGTGATGATATACCAGCCATTAGTCTACAAACTAAAAAACATCACATACAAAACATTAAAATAAAAAACAGACCACCTTTCCCACTCTTCTGTAAAACCCCATATGTCTGTTAGAGAGTAGATTACTAAAGTGTGGCTTTGCATTTCCAGCTGGCCTTCTATAGTTGATGGAAGAATGAAAGAGCCTGCAGTCAGTGGGTAACATCACTGATCTGTTTCCCCAGAGAGAGAAACACCTCCCTGTGTTTCATACAATACTGCTGAACCAGCAGAGACCCCTTACTGACCTGAGGGTCTCCAGTCTGCAGTCTGGACTCTCCAGAAGATCTCTCAGCAGCTCCACTCCTGAATCCTGCAGAGCGTTGCCACTCAGGTCCAGCTTTCTCAGATGGATGTTGGACTTCAGAGCTGAGGCCAGAGCAGAACAGCTGATCTCTGACAAACTGCAGCGTCTCAGACTGAATAAAGAAAACATGATGTAACTTTAGAAAACAAAGTTCCTGTTAGAAATAACTCCAGGTTTAATAATCTGATCAGAGTTATACAGGGTTTGAATTAGGGATGGGAATGATTCATCAAATATTCAAAATGATTCAGGTATTTGAATATGAGTTATGAATATTTGTATTGTAATTATTATTGTTTTTATGGGAGGGGTGCCTAAGTTGATTACATATTATCAAATGGATTAATTAAATGTATACGACCGTGCCATTTTAAATATCTTAAGAAAAATATCAACAACAAAATAACACGTGTAACGTTACCAGGGCTCAGCACAGAGGACGATGCTCTGACGTCATCACCCTCACACATTTGTCACATGTTTACAAAAAACTATATATATGTTAAAACTTTTCTCGTTCTTAATATAGACTAAATTTAAGGTCGATATGTGTTGACTTTAATTTAAAATAGCAGATCTCTGTGACCGGATAGAGTTTTTCGGCTTAGTGAACGTGTCTCTGCTCCGATCAGTGTGTGTGTGTGTGTGTGTGTGTGTGTGTGTGTGTGTGTGTGTGTGTGTGTGTGTGTGTGTGTGTGTGTGTGTGTGTGTGTGTGTGCGTGTGTGTGTGCACGCCATACCCCCCGACCCGTCCTGTAACACGCAGCCGTTTCCTAAACCATGCTAAATGTGTGTGTGTGCATAAAGTGAGTTATGATCACTGAATCTGGTGATGATGAAATAGTTTGCAGTGAGATTTACTCACATACTTCTGGCTATACTCGTGCAGCCCTACAAATGAACTGAGATCTCCAAACAAATGATCTTAAGCAAGTGTGCAGAGCAATGTTGATTTAAAATAGTAAATTGAAGGTTGGATATTTGTAAACCTTTTTTTGTTTATATATTAATAATTTAATATATCCCCTCGCACCTCCACAGAGAGCCCCCCCACATCAAACCCCAACTTAACCCCTGAACGTTACACTCTAACGGAGAGTCCTACCCAACAAACGAAAATGTATTTATTATTACAAATATATATTTTATTTATTTTACAGCATCTCCACTGACTCATGGAGCACAGAGTGAGTCTGTTATATCTCATCTTAGCTCTTAAGGTTGCCTTTCTGGTAGGTCAGGTACAACTGGCCAAAAAAGGGGTGGAGCACCAAGATTGGTCCATAACCAAAGGTGAATAACTTAAATATGCAATCACATCCCATAGGCACACTGTGGTAGGCTATGTGGGAGGCATGGTTTCCCTTATTCTGCACTGTGACTGCAGAGCTGCTAGAAGTCCTTCTCTGGGGGATAGACCCATGCATTGGAGGAGAACATCATTTTACTAGATGTTATGTTTACGTGATTATTCATAATGGATAGAAAGACATATTTTGGAGAAGAGTTAGCTTGTCTGTTTCTCTTGTGATCCTAATTTTCATATTTTTTAAAGTTTGCATTGCTCAAATTAACAATTGTGTGAAAATGAAAGGATAAAGAACAAAAACCAGACCAAGCCAGGCCAGCTGTTTCCCCCATCTGTTTGCTAAGTCAAGCTAACCAGCTGCTCATGGTAGCATGATGACATACAGATGTGATGATATACCAGCCATTAGTCTACAAACTAGAAAACATCCCATAAGAACAGACTACCTTTTCCACTCTTCTGTAAAACCCCATATGTCTGATAGAGAGTAGATTACTAAAGTGTGGCTTTGTATTTCCAGCTGGCCTTCTATAGTTGATGGAAGAATGAAAGAGCCTGCAGTCAGTGGGTAACATCACTGATCTGTTTCCCCAGTGAGAGAAACACCTCCCTGTGTTTCATACAATACTGCTGAGCCAGCAGAGACCCCTTACTGACCTGAGGGTCTCCAGTCTGCAGTCTGGACCCTCCAGAAGATCTCTCAGCAGCTCCACTCCTGAATCCTGCAGAGCGTTGCCACTCAGGTCCAGATGTCTCAGATGGATGTTGGACTTCAGAGCTGAGATCAGAGCAGAACAGCTGATCTCTGACAAACTGCAGCATCTCAGTCTGAATAAAGAAAACATGATGTAACTTTAGAAAACAAAGTTCCTGTTTGAAATAACTCCAGGTTTAATAATCTGATCAGAGTTAAACAGGGTTTGAATTAGAGATGGGAATGATTCATCGAATATTCAAAATGATTCAGGTATTGGAATATGAGGTATGAATATTTGTATTGAAATTATTATTGTTTTTATGCTGTTTCCTAAACCTTGCTAAATGTGTGTGTGTGTGTGTGTGTGTGTGTGTGTGTGTGTGTATGTGTGTGTGTGTGCACGCCATACCCCCCGACCCGTCCTGTAACACGGAGCCGTTCCCTAAACCTTGCTAAATGTGTGTGTGTGCATAAAGTGAGTTATGATCACTGAATCTGGTGATGATGAAATAGTTTGCAGTGAGATTTACTCACATACTTCTGGCTATACTCGTGCAGCCCTACAAATGAACTGAGATCTCCAAACAAATGATCTTTAGCAAGTGTGCAGAGCAATGTTGATTTAAAATAGTAATTTGAAGGTTGGATATTTGTTAACCTTTCTTTGTTTATATATTAATTATTTAATATATACCCTCGCACCTCCACAGAGAGCCCCCCCCACATCAAACCCCAACTTAACCCCTGAACGTTACACTCTAACGGAGAGTCCTACCCAACAAACGAAAATGTATTTATTATTAAAAATATATATATTTTTTTTACAGCATCTCAACTGACTCATGGAGCACAGAGTGAGTCTGTTATAGGGATGCCAGAAACTGACCATGATCAAATTCGAAAATCGGACAGCCCTGGCGAATATTAATCGATTATTCGATTATTATATATATAATAATACAAATATATATAAATCAAATCGAATTTTAAAAATAATTTTCGATTATGGAGACTGTAACGAATATTCGAAAAATCGAATAATCGCTGGCATCCCTAGTCTGTTATATCTCATTTTAGCTCTAAAGGTTGCCTTTTTGGTAGGTCAGGTACAACTGGCAAAAAAGGGGCGGAGCACCAAGATTGGTCCATAACCAAAGGTGAATAACTTCAATACGCAATCACATCCCATAGGCACACTGTGGTAGGCTATGTGGGAGGCATGGTTTCCCTTATTCTGCACTGTGACTGCAGAGCTGCTAGAAGTCCTTCTCTGGGGGATAGACCCATGCATTGGAGGAGAACATCATTTTACTAGATGTTATGTTTGCGTGATTATTCATAATGGATAGAAAGACATATTTTGGAGGAGAGTTAGCTTGTCTGTTTCTCTTGTGATCCTAATTTTCATATTTTTAAAGTTTGCATTGCTCAAATTAATAATTGTGTGAAAATGAAAGGATAAAGAACAAAAACCAGACCAAGCCAGGCCAGCTGTTTCCCCCATCTGTTTGCTAAGTCAAGCTAACCAGCTGCTCATGGTAGCATGATGACATACAGATGTGATGATATACCCAGGGGTGCACATAACTGGTACGCAGGTACGCATGCGCGGCAACAATCTGAAATGCGTACCGTCACTTGAGTCACAAAGCGCATTTGCGTACCTACGTACTTGTGAAGCTTTACCAGAAGGCGGTTAGATCACCGGACGACAGAGTCGGTCTCCGTGTGCACAGACAGGGCTGCTGTTAACGTCGGTCTGTACAGCAGCCCTGCACTAAAACAGCTGATCACAACGTTCACAGGCTCTGTGATCACGAAGCTCTGTACTCCACCCCCCCCGTTGACAATCGCGAAGCGCTGTGTGAAGCGCTGTACCCCACTACCACCCCCCCCCCCCCCGTTGACAATCGTGAAGCGCTGTACTCCACCCCCCCCCGTTGACAATCGCGAAGCGCTGTACTCCCCCCCCCCCCCCGTTGACAATCGCGAAGCGCTGTACGCCACTACCCCCCCCCCCGTTGACAATCGTGAAGTGCTGTACCCCACTACCACCCCCCACCCCCGTTGACAATCGCGAAGCGCTGTACTCCACTACCCCCCCCCCCCGTTGACAATCGTGAAGCGCTGTACTCCACTACCACCACCCCGGTTGACAATCGCGAAGCGCTGTACTCCACCCCCCCCCCCCGTTGACAATCGGGAAGCGCTGTACTCCACCCCCCCCCACCGTTGACAATCGTGAAGCGCTGTACTACACTACCACCCCCCCCCCCGTTGACAACCGCGAAGCTGTACTCCACTACCACCACCCCCCCGTTGACAATCGCGAAGCACTGTACTCCACCCCCCCACCCCCGTTGACAATCGCGAAGTGCTGTACTCCACTACCACCCCCACCCCGTTGACAATCGCGAAGCACTGTACTCCACCCCCCCACCCCCGTTGACAATCGCAAAGCGCTGTACTCCACCCCCCCCCCCCCGTTGACAATCGCGAAACGCTGTACTCCACCCCCCCCCCCCGTTGACAATCGCGAAGCACTGTACTCCACCCCCCCACCCCCGTTGACAATCGCAAAGCGCTGTACTCCACTACCACCCCCCACCCCGTTGGCAATTGCGAAGCGCTGTACTCCACTACCCCCCCCCCCCCCCCCACCCCCCGTTGACAATCGCCAGAAGTTGGAGTACCAAACACTGACTCCAGGTACTCATCTGAGTACCCTCACTGAGAAAGTTGTGTGCACCCCTGGATATACCAGCCATTAGTCTACAAACTAGAAAACATCACATACAAAACATTAAAATAAAAAACAGACTACCTTTCCCACTCTTCTGTGAAACCCCATATGTCTGTCAGAGAGTAGATTACTAAAGTGTGGCTTTGCATTTCCAGCTGGCCTTCTATAGTTGATGGAAGAATGAAAGAGCCTGCAGTCAGTGGGTAACATCACTGATCTGTTTCCCCAGTGAGAGAAACACCTCCCTGTGTTTCATACAATACTGCTGAACCAGCAGAGACCCCTTACTGACCTGAGGGTCTCCAGTCTGCAGTCTGGACTCTCCAGAAGATCTCTCAGCAGCTCCACTCCTGAATCCTGCAGAGCGTTGCCACTCAGGTCCAGATCTCTCAGATGGATGTTGGACTTCAGAGCTGAGGCCAGAGCAGAACAGCTGATCTCTGACAAACTGCAGCATCTCAGACTGAATAAAGAAAACATGATGTAACTTTAGAAAACAAAGTTCCTGTTAGAAATAACTCCAGGTTTAATAATCTGATCAGAGTTAAACAGGGTTTGAATTAGGGATGGGAATGATTCATCGAATATTCAAAATGATTCAGGTATTGGAATATGAGGTATGAATATTTGTATTGTAATTATTATTGTTTTTATGGGAGAGGTGCCTAAGTTGATTACATATTATCAAATGGATTAATTAAATGTATACGACCGTGCCATTTTAAATATCTTAAGAAAAATATCAACAAAAAAACACGTGTAACGTTACCAGGGCTCAGCACAGAGGACGATGCTCTGACGTCATCACCCTCACACATTTGTCTTATGTTTACAAAAAACTATATATATGTTAAAACTTTTCTCATTCTTAATATAGACTACATTTAAGGTCGATATGTGTTGACTTTAATTTAAAATAGCAGATCTCTGTGACTGGATATATGAAATTATTCAGGTATTGGAATACGAGTTGTGAATATTTGTATTGTAATTATTATTGTTTTTATGGGAGGGGTGCCTAAGTTGATTACATATTATCAAATGGATTAATTACAACAGCAGCACAGCTGATCTCTGACAAACTGCAGCACTCTTTAACTTTGATCAGAGGTTTAACAGCTCCTTCATCTCCCTCACAGCTCATCAGTACTGACAGCATCTCCACTGACTCATGGAGCACAGAGTGAGTCTGTGGAAGCTCAAACTCTCTCCCTCACACATTCACCTTCTCTTTGTTATTCTGATCAATATTCACTCATTAGCAACAGTGGAAAAAATAACAATAATAATGTATTTGTTCAAATTCAGTAAATCATAAACACAAACAGATCTGTATGAACTGCAGTCAGTGAACTGACCTGAGAGCCTCCAGTCTGCAGTTTGGACTCTTTAGTCCAGAACTCAGCAGCTCCACTCCTGAATCATTCAGATCGTTGTGACTCAGGTCCAGATCTCTCAGATGAGAGGGGTCAGACTTCAGAGCTGAGGCCACGACTTCGCAGTGAGTCTCTGAGAGTCTACAGTGAGTGAGTCTATAATAACATATAAATTACAACATGTGTTCAAAATAGAAAACATTATATTAAACTCAAGCATTTGATGAAAACATATTTGACATGTTCTGATTGACATTTGCTGTTAGTCCATTTAAAGGTGGGGTAGGTAAGTTTGAGAAACCGGCTCGAGTGCACTAGAATTTGAAAATACACAACCGGAGAAAATCTGCCACTTCCTTATAGAGCCCCTCCTCCAACACACACGAACGCGCACATGACCAATGAGGGCACGAGATAAGTTTGTGCCCCGATGGAAGGCTGACAGGCAGGTAGGCCATCCAGTTATTTTAGCCGGGCCGGCTCAGATGATTGGTCGTGCTTTTTACAGTACTACGGCTTCCACAGATGATATTTTTTTATGGATTTATTGTCAAAGCACTTCAGATATTCATTGCTATCGGGATGTTAAGAGCATTCCATGGAATATAACAAAAAGTGTATCTCAAGCCGGTTTCTCAAACTTACCTACCCCATCTTTAATATGATATATAATAATATATAATAATAAAGTTGAATGAGTTGTCAGTGTGATCTGATCACATGTCTGTGCTCCTGCTGTCACTGACTGTTACCATAGAAACAGAAATTAAATAAATCACAATATTAGAGATGTCCATATTTCAATGTGGATGTGAATGATGGATGGAGGATGTTTTGGCTTCTCTGAGCATCTGAACATTTATTGTAGAAACAAACACAATTAACAAACCAATAAAGTTTCAATATGTTCAACTGAATACCATCAGATGTTCTCAGTATATCAGCATTCAGACATAACTCTGTTATTGGTGGGAAATGATATAGATCTTATTTTAAACTCTAATACATTGTGATAGAAACGTGTGTTAAATGATAAAGAAACTACTAGAAAGTAATAAGAGCTTTCTCTGATAACTGTAAGTCCTGCTGTGTGGTGTGATCACATGCTGAGAAACCTCTAGAGTCCTTCATGTGTTTGACATGTCTCCTCCATCACTCAATATGAAGAGAGAAACGGTTCAGTTTAACTATTATTATAAATAAATAGTAGAACAGTGTTGGTTTATTTTGCTCTCAGTATTTAAACAGCAGAAATGTTATCGTGTTCATTTGAATAATTACACTTCTGATTCACATTAGTTTATAAAGTTAATCACATCTGGACTTACTTGGCCTTCCTGCAGTTCCTCACAGCTGGAATCAGTCTCCGTTTCCCCTCATGTGATGTGTTGTACTTCTCCAGGTCCAACTCATCCAGAACCTCCTCTGACATCTGCAGCATGTAGGCCAGAGCAGAGCAGTGGATCTCAGAGAGTTCCTTCTCTGATCTGTTCTCTGACTTCAGGAACTCTGTGATCTCCTGATGAACTGAGTGGTCCTTCATCTCTGTCAGACAGTGGAAGATGTTGATGCTCCTGTCAGGAGAGATTTCATCACTGCTCATCTTCTTCAGGTTATTGATGGCTCTCTGGATGATTTCTGGTCTGTTGTCTGTGCGACCCAGCAGGCCACCTAACAGTCTCTGGTTGGACTCCAGAGAGAGGCCGTGGAGAAAGCGGACAAACAGGTCCAGGTGGCCATTTTTACTTCTGAGGGATTTCTCCATGGCTCCCTTCAGGAAGACATCCAGGGATGGGTAATCCTGATCTCTGCTGCGTTTATAGTCTCTCTGCAGGAAGTCCTTCAGTACCTCTGTGTCTCTGTTGGTGTAACAGTGCAACATGTAGACTGCAGCCAGAAACTCCTGAATGCTCAGATGAACAAAGCAGTAGACTGTTTTCTGTAAGATCAAACTCTCTCTTTTGAAGATCTGTGTACAAACTCCTGAGTGCACCAAGGCCTCGGTGACATCAAGGCCACAGCGCTGCAGGTCTTCTTGGTAGAACATGATGTCTCCTTTCTCCAGATGTTCAAACGCCAGCCTCCCCAGCTTCAGAAGAACCTCCCTGTCAGCCTCCGTCAGCTGCTGTTGACTCGTCTCATGTCCCTCTTCATACTTCTGCTTCTTCCTCTTGGTCTGGACCAGCAGGAAGTGTGAGTACATGTCAGTGAGGGTCTGTGGCAGCTCTCCTCTCTGGTCTGTAGTCAACATGTGGTCCAGAACTGCAGCAGTGATCCAGCAGAACACTGGGATCAGACACATTATGTGGAGGCTCCTGGAGCTCTTGATGTGAGAGATGATTCTGCTGGACAGGTCTTCATCACTCAATCTCCTCCTGAAGTACTCCTCCTTCTGGGCGTCAGTGAAGCCTCGTACTTCTGTCACCCTGTCCACACACTCACGAGGGATCTGATTGGCCGCTGCAGGTCTGGAAGTTATCCAGACGAGAGCCGAGGGAAGCAGCTTCCCCCTGATGAGGTTTGTCAGCAGCACGTTGACTGAGGACTGCTGAGAGACATCAGACACAACCTTCTTGTTTCTGAAGTCCAGAGAAAGTCTGCTTTCATCCAGGCCGTCAAAGATGAGCAGCACTTTGCAGACAGCCAGCTGCTCTGCTGTGACCTTCTGTAAGGTCGGATGGAAAACATGGAGCAGCCTGAGAAGACTGTACTGCTCACCTTTGATCAGGTTCAGCTCCCTGAAGGAGAGCGGGATCACCAGACTGACATCTTGGTTTCCCAAACCCTCGGCCCAGTCCAGAGTGAACTTCTGCACTGAGAAGGTTTTTCCAACTCCAGCGACTCCGTTGGTCAGGACCGCTCTGATGAGAGTCTGTTGGTCAGATAAGGCTTTAAAGATGTCCTGGCACTTGATTGGAGTGTCATGGAGGGGCTTCTTCTTGGAAGCTGTCTCCAGCTGCCTCACCTCATGTTGGGTATTAACCTCTTCACTGAGGCCTTGTGTGATGTAGAGCTCAGTGAAGATCCTGTTGAGGAGGGTTTCACTTTGATCAGTTCCTTCAGTCACACGTTCACATCTCCTCTTCAGACTGAGCCTATGTTCATCTAAAACCTCCTGCAGACCACTCTTTGCTGGAAGAGAAGGAAACAGGAGAGAATCAGGAAAATGCTCTGAGAATCTAATTAAAAAACAGAGTTTCAATGTTTTATAAAACAGCTTAATGTCTATGCTCTACAACAGTATACCTAAACAGGAAGAGGAATAAAGCGCTGCATGAGTTCGGCCTCTTACCTCGTACAGTTCTGGTCTGACTGGCAGGACTTCTCCTCTTCCCTCTGTGGAGATGAACACATCCTTTATAACACTTTACATTAGTGGAGCTGATTCTCACCAATGGGCAGAGCGTCACTTTACACTCAAGATGAAATGTTTCACGCTGCACGAATACACAGGTGACATGAATTTCACATCTTCACTTCCTGTGTTGCCAGGCACAGATCTGGGTTTTGCATTGACTCTACATGTAATCTCACACAACTCTGTTATACAGATGGAGCCTCTTATTTTGGACCCCAGCATACAGCTTCCTGCCGACTGCCAGCCAGTTGCCAGCCAGTTGCCTGCCAAAGACCAGTATTCAGGAATGTTAGGCCCTCCCACTATTCTCCAATTTCAGGGTTTAACCAGGAGATGGCGCTATATATTAAATAACTAAGACTTAGTTTTTCACAATAGAAAATGCAGATATTATATAAAAAACTAAAGTTAAAATCTTGTTTTTAATGCCCCAAGAGCAATAACATCTTGTCACAAGCTTTTTGGAAGAAAAAGACTGACTCAAGAGACCTGTAGTTGACTAATTACAGGCCTCAATAAAGTTCTGCCATTGGTTGTGAAAAACAATGGTGGACATAGTGGAAAGTGAAATTGACATTGTCGAATTTAATAAAAATACAAAATAATGTATCTGTGTACGTGTTTTACTATGTGATCTGCACTTATCAAACATCTAATTAAGGCGAGACACCCCAGGTGAATAGGGTATTTTTAACTTAAAGATATCAGCTAAATATTTCTCCAGTTAATTACTTACAATAAGGCAATTGTTTTTTGTATTACAAGTTTTCTGAAATAGCATGTTTAAATATCCAAATGAACCATTATCTCATGAAATATGCGCATATTTTAACACATTTCAGGAACCGAAATCTGAACTTTGGATAAAGCCAGGATCAAAATTATTGTTTCATTTTGTAGTCATATTAGTATCTAAGGCTTTTACAGAAGGGATTTTGGATATCTCTTTGTATCACTCCATAAATCAGAAAATACTGTCAACAGCCCTAAAATATCAATTTTCACCATGTTTTTAGGTATAAAATGTTATATAATTCAGGCTATGAATTATATATGACCAAACCCTTCTGTAAAAGCCTTCATAATATTGATAGGAATATAACTGGAAGGTTTGGTGTATGTAACTGCTGAGTGATTCTACAATTTAGGGTACATTCCATGTCCATTGATGTCCATTGATGATAATTATAATTATTCTAACTATTTTCTTCAAAAATATCATATTTTGCCTATTATTGGAAAGCATGTTATAATATCACACAAACATTATGTGCATCCTATGCTTTATTTAGCTTGAAATGTGTCATGATGTTCTTAAATTGTCAGTTTTTGCTATGTCCGTTTTTCAGTTGAGGGTGTCTTGGATTCAAAATAATGAATAAAAACCATTAAAGTAAATTTAAAAAATGATTCATTTATTTCAAAAGTCTAAATACTAAAGAATAATAACATATTTTTAATTGATTTCCCCCTTTAAATAATTTAAATATCTTAATATATGAATGTCCGCAAAAGTTCTGTCAACTATGTTACTAACAGAACTTCCCCCTTTAACTCAAAAATTGTTTGTCCCAATACCATGTCACCAGCATCACATGATGCCATGTTCCTCTTTGGCAGACATTTTGAACACACTGTGGTGATTGTCCTCTACATTTTTACAATATTTTATGTATAATAGCACATGGTCAATTAATATACTCATTGACAATCAACAATGTTACGTACATTGTTATGGTTTACAATTGTTTAATGATTTTAATTCAATTATATGTGCAAATGTGATGTTAACCTGTTCAAGAAAATGACATGTGGTCATCCAGGCAAGGCCTACCATTGAAATGATGGGTCAAAATAGGGAAATTGTCAACTAGGTTACCTGTCAACTGAGTTACCCAGTACTGTAATAACTGTAGTAACTTAGTTGACAGGTAACCTAGTTGACAATTTGTACGACATGTAGACGTCATTACACATCATTATCAATGGAATTTTGCACTTCTGCCTTGAAATTAACATAGTGCTGATGGTTAATAATGTGTCCAGTCAACTATGTTATTTGCGTCAAATGTTTGACTTTCATTGTCAACTATGTTGCACCTCATTTTTTCAAATTTAAAATATCTAAAATAGTGCTTCTGATATCCTTTATAGTATAATGTATATCTACACAGGTTGGAGTTTTACATGACATCTCTTAAAACTATCAAAATGACCTGTATGGTAGTTTTATAATACAAAATATCCCTAAACTTAATGACAGTGCTGAACATATCACATGAAAAAACAAAACTTTAATACAATTATTTTTTAAACTTTAAAAAATCTTTGGATATATGGTAGAATAGACTCAAGAGCCTTTCAAATTTGATTTTACTTGAAGTGCAGGACTTAATCAAATGATTGTAATGACATCAAGTTTGTCCGTAACATAGTTGACAAACTGAGTAGTGAAAACATCCTTTCCCTTAAAATAAAAAAATATATAAAAATGTTTAAGCTTTGCAACTAGTGGATATGTTACACTGAGGAATATACTAACTTGAACCACTGATTGTTCTATCTATACATTTTATTTGGCATTAGTAAATAATTATGCACATTTACAGATATTTTACATGATATGAGTGATAACACGTGTTATAAGGGCTATTTCGCACAATAGGTGTGCCTTGAGATTTTTACTTGTCCTTTGGTGTGCCTTGGGCACAAAAAGTTTGGGAACCACTGCTGTAGAGAAATGTAAACGTTCACCATCCCCCACCCGCCTACTGTATGTTGCTTTTTGACATGTAAATGAGTAACTACCCCCCCTCTGAGTGAATACCTGTTGTACCTGTCCGGGGCTAAGCCCATAGGACGATGCTCTGATGTCATCACCCTCGCACATTGGTCATATGTTTACAAAAAACGATGTTAACACTTTCTCGTTCTTAATATATGCTATATTTAGGGTCGATATGTGTTGAATTTACTTTAAAATAGCAGATCACTGTGATTCACTTCTCCGCGGCTCCTCCGTGCAGAGAGGCCCCCCCCCCGTTGACAATTCACGAGCGTCTAACTCTCTCCCCCCCTGTGAAGAGATATCACAGGGGGGGGTTGGGACACACACATTCCGATGGCCAATTCGTTTTAAACAAAGAGTGGGGTGGGGGCTGGTGAACGGTATGGTCAATGTTTGTAAACACTGTGACATTTTGACTTTATTTGATCATTTCAGTTAAAAACTAACGTTCATATTTCATATTACTGTTTTGCCTGGCTGGACCTGTAATTTACAGGAAAGGAGTGCACGCTACTAAAGAGACACGCTACCATGGAAACCAAACAATGGTGTTGCTGTATTGAAGTCCGAGTGGAAACAGTCATATTTGGAGCGTTATGTTAGAATGAAACAGCGAGGTCGTGACTCACAAAAAAAAAAGTGTTACTTCACTAACTGTAAGCTTGTCACTCAGAGTAACCTACAGTTAACTTAACTGTTGGAAAAGAAAGATCAGAGTTAGGAGTGTGAACACACAGCTGAGAGCTGCCGTTTCATTCTGACTGTTTAAAAAACGGTAACAACGGACTATTTTTCTTAGCGGATGCATGTAAATTTAAATCAATACATAGAACTATGTTTTAAATCAATAAAAATATTTTCTAAATCCATAAAAGCATTTTAATTAATATTGGGAGTCATGTCGTTACTTTGTTGAGAATGTGGCCATGTAATAAGCGGGATAATTTGCAGCGACTTGGTCATTATGGGGAAAAATAACACCCAGGGATCAAGATCCCTCCGCGACGCGGAGGGATCAGTAATTTTTAGTGAATTACTGAGTTTAGGCACGTTAATAACATTTTAATGAAGTTGAATACAGTATATTCATATTTGTCAGTGATTTCATGTCAATTCGGCGAACATAAACGATTAAATTAGGATTAAAAATCGAGAGCCGGCTGCTGTTCGTTACGGTAACCCAACTAGGACACTTGACACAGTGGCTTTTGGCAAAGCACACAAAGAAAAAAAAAAAAACCGAGAGAGATGAGTTATTGTTATTACAACGTGACTTCACTATTATTTAACAACTATTTTTATTGGGTTCTTTTATTTGGGGTTAAGTACATTGTCAGAATAAGTGAGAAATGGATTTAACTTCTGTTAGACAGCTATCATACTGAATAAATATTTATGCAAAAATGTATGGCATTAATAATGTATATCTAATTACATTTAAAAATGTATGGCATTAATAATGTATATCTAATTACATTAACTGTGAATGTCTTTCATTTTATTTAAAATGAAATAAAATTACATAAAACATTTTCCATAAAAAAGTTGATTCAAGAACAAATCAGTACTTTTCTTATATGACTATTATTGCTAAATTTGAAAGGTCTTTACCAGCTTTGGAATTATATATATATATATATATATATATAGCACCTTCTGCCATCCCATCTCTACTGACATATGGATCTTAACAAAGATCCGCTATACATTAGTACCAGATATACTGTACACGGACATTTTAGTGAACCAGACCAGCTGTTTCCGCCGGGTCTTCGCTTCCCGGGCATCACGTTGTTTACAAGTGTGTTCAGATGCTAAATGACAAGTGCAAGTGACAATTGTTGTCGTCTTCTCTGTGAACGTTTTTTTCTCCGTTATTTTGCCATTTTCAGATTTAAATTTCGAGCGGAAAGCTAACCAGGAAGTAATAATTACTTAAGCGGAGAACGGAGAAAGTAAACGTTACAGCAGGCATAACAACAGCCGGTGTTTATTTTATTATAATATATATCATTTGTTTTAAAGCTCAATATATAGTTCTATCCGTGACATATGGATCTTAACAAAGATCCGCTATACATTAGTACCAGATATACTGTACACGGACATTTTAGTGAACCAGACCAGCTGTTTCCGCCGGGTCTTCGCTTCCCGGGCATCACGTTGTTTACAAGTGTGTTCAGATGCTAAATAAAAGTTTAGCTTGTACTTTTGATACCCCGCCTCTCGGCACCACAACATCCAGTTTACTGTATTTCACATGAGCGATGTCGAACATTGAAAAGTCCTTATAAAATCTCTGTTATTAGATCAGTACTTTTCTTATATGACTATTATTGACTTGAACACTGAGAATGTATTTATTAACTTCAGACATTTGAAATATTTGAAATCAGATGAAAACAAACTGTAACGGACCCTGCCGTGTTATCTATGATTACTATGCCTTACTGTACATTCATAATTTCAGCCGGAGGTAGGTGGTAGGCGTTGCGGAGGAGCAGATTGCGAGTGAGGTGCCTGTTCTAAACGAACTATTCCAGCTGTTATAAAGCATTAAATAAAATGTAAGCAAGGAATACAGAATGTTTCGTTATGTAACTTTGTTGAGAATGTGGCCATGTACATGTAATACATGGGATCATTTGCAGCGACTTGGTCATTGTGGGGAAAAATAACACCCATCCTGATCGTTTCAATGAAGTTGAATACAGAATATTCATATTTGTCAGTGATTTCATGTCAATTCGGCGAACATAAACATCAATGATGATGATTAAATTAGGATTAAAAATCGGGAGAGCCGGCTCGTTCGTTTTTTCCGACTAAACAACATCTATTATTTAGAAGTTGATTTCACATGACTCCAGTGTGGAACCCCACTGCACCCCCTGGTGGATCAATGATCCATTGCAGCTGGCTTCACAATAATTAAATGTATTTATCATGGGGGCGGTATCAAGTCTGACTGGGGGCCGGCCGGCCATCACGGAACGTGCATGAACCGATCACGACCCTCGCACTTTAAACTGTCCAAAATAAGACGCTTCATCTGTATATATATATTTTTTTTGCCTGTCCTTGTTTGTCTACCCTTCCTCACTGTAAAGCATATTTGAGTTCCAGAAAAGCGCTTTATATATATAATTTATTATTATTATTATATCTGCTAATGCTAAACACAACCAGCTCACCAGGTTATCACTATTATTAATAAACATCTTAATAATACATAAACATGCCCAAGTAGTGAATAATGTTTTAGACGAGATATTTAGTTTTTAGTTAGTATTTATCTATATTTGTGCCATTTAAAACCATGTTATGCCACAGATACAATGATACTATGATTGCATATTGAAATATCCTTAATATATCAGGTTGTATGAAAACTGAATCCTCTTCAGGTCAGTTTACAGCAGAAACTCTTACTTTGTGTCTGAGGGTCCAGGTTCATCTCTGAAGTTTAGAGGTTGCCCTTTAGACCGGTCACTCTTCAGAGACAGACCGCTGGAGACTGAAGATGTGTCCTCTTCCTCATCTTTGAAATCACTCATCTTCTCCAGTCTGACACACACACACACACACACACACACACACACACACACACACACACACACACACACACACACACACACACACACACACACACACACACACCACACACACACACACACACACACACACACACACACACACACACACACACACACACACACACACACACACACACACACACACACACACACGTCAGACTTTAGACAGGCCGCTCTCCATTTTGACTGCGCTGTCACCTGTTATGTAATTTATTATTAGTATTATATCTGCTAGGGTGGGAATCACCAGGCTCCCCACGATACGATACTATCGCGGTTCTACGATATGCTAAGCAGTGTTTCCCCTAGGTTTACTGCTTTGGGGGGGTGCTGCCTGAGCGGGGGGCTGTGGATTATTGTTATTGATTAATGCATCAGTGTTTCTTAGGGTCAAAAACACTACACTCACAACTTCAAATGAAAGCGTTTAGTTTATTTAATAAAAGAGCACATGTTCAATGTGAAAAGTGACAGTAGATATAGATTAGTTGCAATTTGGCGCTATAAATATATATATGTAAAAAAAAAATTATAATTCTTTTTTTTTTTTTAAACTCCTTGACTCCAAGACATTGGAAGGGAAACACTGCTAAGTATTGCGACACGATATATTGCAATATTGCAAATCACATGGGTCATATCCATGTCCGTCTTCCCTTCCTGGTTAAAAAATGTATTTGCAATATGAATAGTTTATGTAAATAACCCAATTTGTGTTCTTTGAACCTGAAAAGGAGATGGCATTGTTTTTGTTACTTTCATTGCAATTGTATACATGTCAGTGTTTCCCCTATATACAAATAGCGGCGGCGGAGCGCCAGCCAGGTACCCAAATCTTTTTCTTTTAATTAAAATAATAATAAGTGGCGACCCTTTTTCATTTTTGATTGTTTGTTATTTGGATTTGTAATATTTGTGTTACTGTATGTTCAATAAAGGTGTATTTTTGCTAAATCTTGAGACATTGCCACTGTATGTACTAGGCAGGGCCGATTTTTGGCATAGGCGGTCGCCAGATCTGGGGGGCGCTGCGCTGGCAGCTCTGGGAGGGGAAAAAACATTTTTGACCGTTGGTGCTCATCCTAATTTTTGGCCTTGATGTAACAACATCATAATTAAGTAATTGTAACACCCTTTTCACCCCGGTTACACGTTTCATTTGCCCCGTACGATGGGCGCTGTAAGTGATGAAAGTGGGGGATGTTAGCTTATCAGGCGCCCGCAGCTCACAGCCAAAGAGCGAGCGAGGGAGAGAGAGGAGAGAGAGAGAGAGAGAGAGAGAGAGAGAGAGAGAGAGAGAGAGAGAGGAGAGAGAGAGAGAGAGAGAGAGAGAGAGAGAGAGGAGAGAGAGAGAGAAGAGAGAGGGCGCACCCGGTACCGGCGCTGTTGTTATTAGAATCTGGTGCTAGCTTCGCTAACGGATATAAGAAGTAGATGTTTCTACAACCAGGGTGGAGGAGAGCTCTCCTGTCAGACTGAGAGGCTCAGTGGGGTAAAGGACTCTCTGAGGGTTTAGATAGTTCACTTTAGTCTAAGTTATCTCAGTGGCTCTCAAACAAATATGTGTTTACAAATTATGTAAACACATATTTCCAAGGCACTCCTTTATAATTATTAGGATAAATAAAAACAGGTTTGAAATCATTCCAGTGTATACTATAGGACAGTAAACCAAAAATATCGTTTAAAGTTGGAGAGATACAAAAATATGCATAAATAAATAAATGTTAAAGGTGGGGTAGGTAAGTTTGAGAAACCGGCTCGAGATCGCTAGAATTTGAAAATACACAACCGGAGAAAATCTGCCACTTCCTTCCAGAGCCCCTCCTCCAACACACACGAACGCGCACATGACCAATGAGGGCACGAGATAAGTTTGTGCACAGATGGAAGGCTGACAGGCAGGTAGGCCATCCAGTTATTTTAGCCGGGCCGGCTCAGATGATTGGTCGTGCTTTTTACAGTACTACAGCTTCCACAGATGATATTTATTTATGGATTTTTTGTCAAAGCACTTCAGATATTCATTGCTATCGGGATGTTAAGAGCATTCCATGGAATATAACAACAAGTGTATCTCCAGCCGGTTTCTCAAACGTACCTACCCCAAGGTAAAATAAGATATAAATGAACAACAAAAATAAAATAAGTTACATTTATTTGTTATTGGCTATGGTAGGTTATTGGTTATGTTCATATACTTATTTGATTATTAAAATGTAAACCGATCTTTTTCAGATGGGTTTTTTAAGTTGTACCCCCTAGATCAGGTCTCTAGTAATTGTGTGCTCAAAGTGCACCAGATTGAAGCATTTTACTTTAAAATGTTCAAAAAAATCTTCCCGGACCACCCGAGAGGAGGTGACGTCCACACCCCAATTAAAACATGTTCATACAATACTGAATACATTTGAAGCCATTTTGACGTATATTATATGTATATTGTTTTTGTAGTGTATTTGTCTTTTGTAGAGATTGTTAGAAATTAAAATCAATGTTTAATAGCATAATTTAGTCTAAAACATATCGTCAGTTTAAAAGCTGTTTTATTGTGAAAAAATCCGGAAGTTCTCAGGAAATCTCAATGCCAAGCTTTTATTCTGAGAATCCTTCATATCCGGTCAGTATGTAGCATGTGGCTAACCAATATGTTTTCTGAATGTAAAGTGAAAATGACATGGAGTGTTGCACACCAAAACCTACGGACTTTAACACTACATCTATAGACGTCGAGATATTATTACTGATGAATATTAAATGAAGGTACAGTTGATCGTAACGTTTTTTCACATACGTGAGTAGCTATGACGTCAGAGGGAGTTACCGTAAATGAGAACTGTGCCGTAAAAGTGTTTCTAGGATTTCTAAACTAACTATTACAGCTGTTTATAAAGTATTAAATAAAAAGTCATGAAAGAGATAAGGAGGAGAAAAGGCTTAAGGAAGTAAGCAAGGAATACCAAATATCGAAATCCTCTGTTTCACGCGATGTTGAACATTGAAAACGAGGAGGGCGGTCCCCCTATCTGCACAGCGGGAGAGAACAAGAAAAGTATAAAGGAGATCGGAAAGGACAACCCGCCCTCTTGTCTTCGCTGCAGCCTCCTGAGAGACAACACCGGCTTTTGTCTCTTCCTTACCTTATGCTTGTTCTTTAACCACGTTACTTAATTAAAGTACCAATTTGAACCTTTTCAGAAACTCCATTAGTCTCATTATTTTAAGTTTCTTTCCTGGGAGCGAGAAGATCACGATTCATCAATAAGATTTTTCATTTATTCTTTATATATAAAATCTCGCCTAGGGCAGCAAATAGTCTAGAACCGGCACTGGTGCTAAGCCTCAAGAGCCTTTCTTGTGCTGGCAGACACATAGAAACAAATTGGTGGGGCGCACTTCGCACGCGCACACACTAAAATATTCCCCACGCTCCACGCTCACATTATGCTGGGCCCATGTGTGACTCCATAGGGGAAACACTGCATGTCTTAACGTAACTTCCTGTTTTATATACGACCATCTTTTGGAGGGATATGCTACAGTTTATATTAAAAGAAAAAGACTTGGCATGCGTGTATTGATACAATATCGCCACACTATCGCGATACTATGCTGTATCTATTATTTCCCCCACCCCTAATATCTGCTAATGCTAAACACAACCAGCTCACCAGGTTATCACTATTATTAATAAACATCTTAATAATACATAAACATGACCAAGTAGTGAATAATGTTTTAGACGATATATTTAGTTTTTAGTTAGTATTTATCTATATTTGTGCCATTTAAAACCATGTTATGCCACAGATACAATGATACTATGATTGCATATTGAAATATCCTTAATATATCAGGTTGTATGAAAACTGAATCCTCTTCAGGTCAGTTTACAGCAGAAACTCTTACTTTGTGTCTGAGGGTCCAGGTTCATCTCTGAAGTTTAGAGGTTGCCCTTTAGACCGGTCACTCTTCAGAGACAGACCGCTGGAGACTGAAGGTGTGTCCTCTTCCTCATCTTTGAAATCACTCATCTTCTCCAGTCTGAGAGAGAGAGAGACACACACACACACACACACACACACACACACACACACACACACACACACACACCACACACACACACACACACACACACCACACACACACACACACACCACACACACACACACACACACACACACACACACACACACACACACAATAATAACACGCTTTTTCCAATCCAAACCAGCATAGTAATAAACTTAGTTGGTCAGACTTCAGACAGGCCGCTCTCCATTTTGACTGCGCTGTCACATGTTATGTAACTCAGATGGATCAGCAAACAGGACTTTAAAAGAGTTTGCAGAAGTCTCATTGGACTCTAGGAGGCTGATTTTTAACATACAGGTTATGTTATCAGTCTAACAGAGTGAATAATGAATCTGTTAGAAAGCAGATATTGGTGTTTACACTCACCCCGTTGTTCTCCTTCTGCTCCGGCGAGCTGTAAAATGGCGTCTGGCTGTCTGACTACTTACTTTCACTTTCAACTTCCCTCCTTGTCTGCAGCTCCTCCCTTTGTTCTATAACCAGCCTTATCAGCCAGTTCACATCCAGGGACTCTGTTCAGTGAGATAGAAATAGAGCTAAAAACAAGCTCAACAAAGTTATTGAAAACATGAATACCACAGTGTGGAAATAACCCAGTAAACATCCTGCATTCAAAACCTCACTGAAGTTAAAGTGTTGAGGTATTTAAGTACTCTATTGTTAACTGTGCATTCAATTGTTCCCTATTATATATATATACATTTGTTTCTGGATTATTAACCCTGCTGCATTTATTGCATATAGTACTGTATTCTCCCAGAATATGAATGGACTTTTTTGTTATTGGCACCAAAACATATTTCTTTCATTGATTTATGATTTCAAAGTTCTAGCCCAGCATTGAACAAATAAAACATCAAATAAAAAGTGAACCATTGATGCCTGAGCTGGACCGATGTTATCCTCACCATTTTGTTTATCTTCCTGCACATGATAAACTCATACTCTATATGTTTTCATTTCACTGTGAATTGAGTTTGTCCTTAGCAGTCTCTTCCTCCACCGTCACTACATATATATACATTACCTTTAGTCTGTGTTTTCAGTTCTTTCATCATTAGTTTTAGCTAACAAGTACCAGATCTGAGTACTTCTACTTTTACTCAAGTACCAGATCTGAGTACTTCTACTTTCACTAAATTACAAGATCTGAGTACTTCTACTTTTACTCAAGTACAAGATCTGAGTACTTCTACTTTCACTAAAGTACAAGATCTGAGTACTTCTACTTTTACTGAAGTATCCGATCTGAGTACTTCTACTTTTACTCAAGTACAATAATTGAGTACTTCTACTTTTACTCAAGTACAGTACAAGATCTGAGTACTTCTACTTTTACTCAAGTACAAGATCTGAGTACTCAAGTACAAGTGTAACAGTTGTGAATATGCAGTGGTGTTTATGTGTAAATCATTTAGTATAATCACACACATTCTGTGTTTTATATTGAATAATTCTGTATTCTTAATTTATTGAATGTTCAATACCTGACAAGGTCGGAGATCAGTGGGCGGAACCTCTGAAATGTAGTCCCTGTACTCAGAAGATTATTTTTGTGTGGACTTCCCCCTTCATATTGTGTCCCTCACGTTTCCTCTTGCCTTGTTGTAAATGTTCCACGTGAGAGGAGTCACTGTGAGGGATAACAAATGTAATACTGATTTGTTGTATTCTGTCAGATTGTCAGTGATTAAACGGATATCGTCTAAACCAGTGGTCGCCAACCAGTCGATCGCGATCGACCGGGGACCGTTAACAAAAAAAGTAACAAAATAAATAAAAATAAAATAAAAATAATGATGTTTGAAAAATAAGTTTTTAGATGTAAACCTATCATCCACCACCCCGTTTGCACGTGCCACTTGATTGACGTATATTTTAGACACCTCAATAATATAATACAGTAACCTACGTACTTACGTGAACCTCATCATGACACAAGAGAGGACGGCAGGACTGCAATTTCCCGTGTTAAGTGAATGCAACAGAGGCATGACACCAGACCAATCAGAGAGTTGCATGGAAATACAGGTGTGCTTGTGTCATTCAAGCTCGGCTCTGTGTGTGTGTGGCAATAGTGCATTAATGGCGCATTTCCATTGCAGCGCGTAGCTCGCTTTAAGCGTGCCGTGTCGTGCCGTCCCCTTTTTTGGTTGTGCTTCCACTAGGCCTCGTTCTGGCGCGGCACGGCGCGGGGCCACTTTTTCCCCTCTTTTCTGGCCCTAGAAAATTGTGGTTCTATCGGGGCCAACAAACAGGGCTGAGTCGGGCTGAGTATGCTAAACTAGAGAGAGGAGCGCTGGCAAGAGGGCTAGAACTACAACAAGATGGACATATTTGACCGTGATTTAATTGTAATACACGTTTCAAAATGATGCCGAAGTAACAACATACCTGATACCGGTTAGTAAAAACCATGAATTAATGCTTTGTCAAGTCTGCAGACAGACGGCAGGGGCGAAAAACCTTTTAAAATTCGTGTTTTTCTAGATGGAGATTGGCTAAGCTAACGCAGTAGTATATGCCCCGACCGTCCACACTCACAACAACGGCCTATACAGACGTAAATAAAGCAGCGACTGTATTCACCATGACACAGGCAGTCTGTGGTGTGTACTTGTTTAACTTTTGTCGAGTTTCTGAACATATATAAGGAGCTGTGAGCTCTGAGTGCTCACAGCTAACGGCTGTGTCTGTGTTTCTGGATTTCTCATTGAAGATGACGTCACGGCTTCCGCCTACACTGCGTTACTATAGTAACTACCCCAGTTCCTAAACTGTAATGGAAGCGCAGCATGAAGTGAGTCGGCCCTGTTAAGGCCCAACGCGGCCAAGCCGTACCGAGCCGTACCGAGTGTGGCCGAGGCCGACCGTGTAGTGGGAAATGCGCCATTAGTGTGAGAGAGAGGGAGAGAGAGAGAGGGACCGGTGCCAGCGGGGACTGTGATGTTAGCATCTGGTTAGCTAGCTGCGCTAACGGACATAAGGAGCTGTTTCCACAACAAGCTGGAGGAGAGTGCTCTCCTCTCAGACTGAGAGACTCAGGTGAGCTAAAGGACTCTCTGAGTGTTTAGATATAGTTCACTTTAGTCTAAGTTATCTTAGTGGGTCTCAAACAGTTTTGTCACAAATTATTCAAAAGATTATTTCCGCGGCACACCGCGGTATTATAGTTATACAAACAATAAGAGAAAAAATGAAAAACAGGTATGAAATACTATATGGCAGTAAAACAAGAATACAGTTTAAAAGGGGAGTGATTTGTAAAATATCCATAAAGAAAAAGAAAATCTGTTTACAGTTCTGTTTCATATGGGTGCTGAGAGAGGTATCCATAGATCTCTTCATGTTGCTCTCAAAGTGCACCAGATTGATGCTTTTAACTTCAATATTTAAAAATATATATTCCTGGGGGAGCATCCCCCCCGGACCCCCCAGAGGAGGTCAGGTCCGCCCCCCACTCATAAAAAAGAGCACTTTACCCCTGCCTATATGCCGTGAGCTGATTATCGAGCCTTCATTGTAACAGTAATTCAGATGCAGCCTATATAAAAGGCCTCAAATTGGAAGCACTGTCTGGGCCGTCTTTTTCACTCAATTCTGCAATAGGTAGATCTCGCCTTTCACCTAGGCCGAGGTCGGTGATCTTGGGCTTAAAAAGGTTGGTGACCACTGGTCTAAACTGTATGCTGGCTCGGGTCTCATCCATGAACAACGCAAAACACAATGCAGAGACCGCTTAACGACACCGGTTACACAAGATCTGAGTACTTCTACGTTTACTCAAGTACAAGATCTGAGTACTTATACTTTACTCAAGTACGAGATCTGAGTACTTCTTCCACCTCTGTTCATTGCTCAGGTGGAAATCACAGAAAAGACTTGAGGAGAAAACAGAGCTTGGACTACCATCTAGTGGACAAACAGAAAACTACACCCACACACTTAGAGCCCAACAGCAGACTGTGAACTATTGGAAATGGTCTGTGTTTCTGACAGACGTGGAAAATACATATAAAAGTACACACACACACAAATACCTGTACTTTCTACTTCTTACATTTTCAAAACAGGCTGGTTACTTAGATTGAATCTGTTGTTTGGTGGCGTGATCATCGTGATTTGCATGTCAGAGTTTTTTCAGACAGGATTTCATTCATTAGTTCATTTATTTTATGAGTTTGATGTTAGTTTCAATCTGCGATGAAGAAGGAGGTGCTACATGAACAGAGCTCAGGGACAAAGTGTGAGAATTTACCGTATGCATTTTTTTATTTACTTATATTACATTTTTATGGATTATTTATTATTATAATTGTATTGTTTTATCCATAACTCTATACATGTCCATAACAAAGATTATTATTAATTTATTATTTGTATTACATTTTTATGGATTCTTTATACATGGACACAGACCCCTGTCACCCGTCAATAAACTGAATCCCCTCTCTGCTCAGCTGCTCATGCATTTCATTTTAAAGACATCACAGAATCAGAATCAGAAAACCTTTATTCGTCCCAGAGGGGAAATGTACTTTTGTTCCAGCAGAAAGAGCCAAAGACAGCTTAACGTTAACTAAGAAGCATACAAACAAATATTAAAGACATTTTTTTTCTTTTTTAAATGGCAGAATTTACAAAATACACATCCTGTAGCAGTTCTGAAGACAACACATCTTAAAGGTTTCAACAATATCTGATCACATTTCATAAAGACTACATGCACACAAAGCTTAGCACAGTTTCAATGACACCAGGCAGAGCTCCTTTAGAAGAGATAGAAATCAACGGAAACATGTGATTGGATATTAAAGGTCTCCTATTATGCAATTTTTAGGCATATATTATGGGTCTCAGATAAATACAAATATATAAAAAACATGTCTATTAGGGGTGGGGGGAAATAATCGATACAGCATAGTATCGCGATACTTTGCGGTGGCGATATTGTATCGATACACGGATGCCAAGTATCGATATTTTTATTATATAAAACTGTTACATATCCCTCCGAAAGATGGCTCGTATTAAAACAGGAAGTTAAGACCTGTATACAATTGCAATGTGAAAGTGACAAAAACTATACAAATATAGTGTATATATAGTAGATGATTTAGTGAATATAGTGTAATGATTGTAGTGTATATATAGTAGATGATTTAGTGAATATAGTGTAATGATGTAGTGTATATAGAGTATGATGTAGAGCAGGGGTTTTTCAAAGTGTGGGAAGGTGAGCCTCCCCTCAGGAGAACATAAGAACAGCCGCGCCCCCCCCCCTCCCAATTATTATTGCTATTAATTATTATTCATTGTTGTTGTTGCTATAATGCAGGGGTATTCAATTTGCATTTCAAAAGAGGTCCAGTAAGATAAAATG